AGAAAAAAGGAACAAAATAATGGTTCTTTAATCTTTCTCCTAAAATATCATAGGAAATTATAGTGGCTAAATTGCAAATAAACTAGGAAGGAAAGATTTAGAGTATTTTATGTGGTTACTCTATAACAATGCCAGGGCATAGTGAAAGTGCTATTTAGCAGAAGACTGAGTTCTTTGAACGTTCCTAGTTTATCACATTTTTAAAATAACCTGGGCAAAATAACCTTTCATATCAGATTGAGCCTTTTTCTAAAAATACTCAATATGTTTCTATTATACCTACACACTTAGAATCCCACAATATAATGCACTGATAAAGTATTTTTCATCCATATATCTAATAGTAGAATAGTGTCTATACAATAATTAAGCTCTTTAGGCTTACCTTGGAAAGTAACGAGTATCGAGTTTAAAGCCATTGGCAGAGAATGCAATAACCAGCTGAGTATACAAAGAAAAAGAAGGTAGGTAGAAAAATGGAAAACATCTTATGAAGTGATGATAGAATAACTCTGAATATGTTTGAAAACATATAAAGAGTTATGTCGATGTTAGCTTTAAAAATTATCTTCCATGCTGTACATTAGATCTGCCTTCCTTTTTCCTTTTCATGTATTATGTTGGGGATAAGAAATTGAAGATATTCAACTCAATGGAGTCTTAGAGATTTATTCAGAAATACCATCATGTGTGTGTGTGGCAGGGGTAGGGTTCTAATGACAGGTCAGAATATACTTATCTGATTGTCTCATTGATCATCAGGTCTTAAAAAGAAAATGGATGTGCTGAAAACATGCCTTCCGGGATTCTTTACCTTCCTGCAAAATTGTCTCTGGATAAACACTTTGTTTGGCAGGTATAGGGTTGCACTAAGCTTTATAGCTCCAACACTCTGCTCCTTCAGTAGATTCTTGCTTGTAACTGATGATAATGCAAACCTGCATTATCTATAGGTTTCCTTAAAGGGCAACCAAAAGTGCAGTAGCAATTCAGGCACAATTACTGCATGTGAGAATCCTCCATCTTGTTCCCTTTGGAGACCACATATATTTCTTAGGCAAGTATATTTGTAAAATCCTTGTTCAGCGTGAAAATTCAGGAGGTCAGGTTCTCCCAGAAAGCAGATTCTGAGAAAGTGATTAGCATGAAGGAATTTTATTGGAGAGTGCTCTCAGGATTAACACCTGTGAAGGGAGGAAAGGCGCGGGAGCAAGACTGGGCAGAAGGAGAAGCTGGGCTACCATACAGTCACGACTACAACACAATCAACCCTCCGTCTCTCCTTCCTAGCCGTCCCCAGGAGGATCTCTGAAGTCTGAAGGTAGGATAGCCCTTCAGAATTGTCCTGAGTTGCAGTAAGGGACCCAGGATTTCATACCCCACAACTCTCTCATCAACCAATACGTGCAGCCCATCTCGGGGACATAGTGGGTAACTTTGGGCTAGGCACCTCTCTTTAGCTGAGGCCACCTCTCAAATAGGGATAACAGCTGAGGACTATCAGCCAGTAGCACTACCAGCAGCTGGGGTCAGAAGTATTTCAGTCCTGAAAAGGGGTCTGGGCAGCCCAGCTTAGCATCTACTACACCAGTCGTTCTCAAATTTGGTCTCTGGCAACTGTGATTCTCCAGCTTTAGCATATATTGGAAGGCTGGTTAAAACAGAGCTTGCTGGATTTTACCCAGAGTCTCTGATTCAGCGGGGCTAGGCTGAGGCCTGGGAATTTGCATTTCTAATAACTTCTCAGATGATGCTGGTGCTGCTGGTCCATGGACTATGAGAACACTGTTTCAGGCTGCCCTTATTTACATACTGAGAACGGTACACAGTGCTCTTATGAATAGAATGAAAACATTCTGAAATCACATTATTCCTTACTCCATCAAATTCTCAGCTATTTTTGTGGACCATAAAGCTGGAATAGCTGATTATAAAACTTTGTTATGTAAAAAAAGTACTTAACCAATACAGTAGATTCTGTTTGCAAAGCATTATTACAGTTTCTAATATCTGGTCATTGTTACTTTTAAAATTCAGGCAAATTTTCTCCAGGGCCTGTGGTTTGATAACTTGGAAGAAGGAATTTAAAAAAATCTAATTCAAGGACTTTGGGTTTTTTTTCTAAACATATCTTTTTTTCTTTATGATTCTTATTTTTTACATTTTATTTATTATATAAGCCATTTAAACCCATATGGTTCAGGAAAATTTAAAACTATATGATACATTTAGAACATGTTGAATGCACAGATATGGAAATTAAGTATTCTTGACTAATTCTAGACTAGACCTGGCACAATTAAAATTTAGAAATTCAATGTACACACACACAGATTCCGAGAGAAATGTTGAAGCTGTAAAACCCGCACACAAGCAGGAAACAACAGTCTTACCTATTATTAAAGAGGCATGTGAAGGAGCTCATTTGAGGAGATTTTCTGCTGTTATTGCCATTGAATTTTTAATGTATTTTCCAAATTAGAAAATATTCAGCCTGATGTTGTCAATATTTCAGACCACAAGGGGGTATCATTTAGGAAAATGGTTCCTTACTGTCCTGAAAGAGTTACTGTTCTTCCCTAAGGACCTAATTTACAAAGCAGCAAACTTGCTGGTAGGATTTGGCTGAAAATCGCATTGTCTCGGTAGAACTCTTTCATCTGATTTATGTGCATTGCATTTTGCAAATAACTCTTGGAAAGTTATTTACTAGTTACTTCCTCTGGAAGCAGAGGGTAAGCGGCATTTCTAGTTTAAGGATAGAGGAGCTAAGATGTAGCAAGTGCAACTCATCATGAAGCTGATGCTGATAAAATACACAACATTACATTCTCTAAGTTTCACTCTGCCATGGGAGATTTCATATTTTTAAATTTTGTTTGAAATGGGACTACATTAGAAAATATGTCAAATGTCTAACCCTGCATTTATATGCTGGAATGCGACAGCCTATTTCTGTTCCAAATTTTGCACTGGAGATGGAGTAAGTCTTAATGCAAACTGCATGAAACTGCCACTTTTGTAGGTCAAACCCAGTCAATTGTCAGCAGTTACACATGGTTCAGACTGTAAGGTGCATGCCCAATTGTAACATCGAGATTCTTGGAGTTGTTGCAATGGTTCTGAATTTTTCAACCGTAATAAATAAAAAGATAAATGACTATTTTGATATTTCTCTTTGCGTTGATAGTTTGCCTGAAAACTAGATAAACAGGGAGCCGGCAGTCCACGTTAGCCCTTGAACTACACGAGGTTTAATTTATTTGCCCAACCAGAAGCCTACACTACCTTTCAGCTGTGCAGTATTAAAGTTTATTTAGGAGTTGATAAATAGCTTAGTGCAATGCTTACTTTTTTTCCAGTAGCTGCATCCTCATAAACCTATTCTACCCTCCACCAGTTAATGCAGACGGAAGATTTTTATCCAGTATGAGCACTGAAACTCCACTGTGGAAGACTGTGTGCTCAGCAAAAACCTCACCCATGATGAATAAACAGCTCTTCCGGGGGCTTTGCCGCCGCTGGCTCGGCAGCAGTTGTTTATTGCCTGGTTTGCACATCCCATGATAAAGTTGCTGCTGAAATAAATTGCAGTTTTGCATAATTATTGACAATCACATCTTAACAAGCAATGGGTATCATATTCAAGTGTTCAATTTTTTAAAATCCATTTTTAGCTTATGTTTAATCCCAGAAAGTGTTTGTGTAGTAATAGAAGGCAAATAAGACATTTAAATAGAGTACTAATTTCCTCATTGCAGACAAAGTTTACCTGAATCTTTTTCGATGGGACTGTTAATGCCTAAGGCAATTTTCCTTTCTAAGCTATTATTATATAGATATTTGCTGAGGGCATATGTGTATGTATCCACAATACATGCATTATATATATGATCAAAAATATGAATACATTTTTAGAGTTTTTGTCATGAAAGAGTTTGTTTCATCCTTTTAAAATATTACAGGAATGGGGAAATGGGATATGGGTAGAAGGAACTAACGTTTTTGAGTAACTGTAATGTATAACTGTATAACGTGTGGGGCACTCAACTTCACAGGAATTTTCTGTTTTAATTCTCATCACAGCAATAGATATTGCAGATGAGAAACTGAGAATCAGAGAGGTAACTTGCCATATCACATAACTGGTAAGGAACATTGGGAATTGAACTCAGATCTGCCTGGTTTTAAGGCTCTACTCTTTTATGTTACACGTAACATTTTTATTTTGGAAAATGTTCTCAGTTGTATGATCAAGTAATTAAATACAAAAATAACACAATAGGTATAACTGGAGTCATGCAAAATGATAGTTTGCACAAAATGATAGTTTCTATGAAATGTTATTTCTCTACTTGTTAGTCTTTCTTCCTTTGCCCTCCAATCCCCTTCTTTTTGTCTTTTCCTCTAGTCTTTTCCTTTTGACTCTAGGTTCGTATTTTCTTGACTTTTCTCCTTGCATATCAAATGCTTGTTTTCTGCCTCAGAGCGGCATCAAAGACAAGCATGGTACAGGGATTTTAGGGTTTTAACTACAAAGGTTAGTCTCAAATTTGGCAGTATATTAAAAATAAGGTTTCAAAATTGATCAGCAAAAACTACAAAATTGAAAAAAGATACTTTGAACTTTCAAATGAACTTGCAAATGTTCAAATATATATATATTTCACATATATATACACATATGTTTATATATATATTTATATATATATATTTATATATAGATATAAAACCTCCTCTGTGGAGAGAGGTTTATAGAAATCTGTAATTGTCATTATTGCATGCCTTCCCCCATACAAATGCCTTTAGGTTAAATAAAAATGAAAGTAAATAGACTGCACAGTATTATAGCTGTTGCTTAAAGGAAGAGCTGTAGCAACAACTCACCCCATTGTTGATATATTACAATTTAGTTCCTCCATCTTTCTCTTTTTGTGGAGTTCACTAGGTGTACCATTCTGATATTTAATAACTGCATCTGAACATTTGTTCCTTCACAGGGTGAGTGAGCAAGAGGCTGCTTTGGAAGAAACTCATAGATTACTGCAACAGTTCCCCCTGGACCTGGAAAAGTTTCTTGCCTGGCTTACAGAAGCTGAAACAACTGCCAATGTCCTACAGGATGCTACCCGTAAGGAAAGGCTCCTAGAAGACTCCAAGGGAGTAAAAGAGCTGATGAAACAATGGCAAGTAAGTCAAGCATTTCCGCTTTAGCACTCTTGTGGATCCAATTGAACAATTCTCAGCATTTGTACTTGTAACTGACAAGCCAGGGACAAAGCAAAATAGTTGCTTTTATACAGCCTGATATATTTCGGCATTTGGACAAGGAGGAGAGAGGCAGAGAGAGGAGGAAACATTATTTATAATTCCACTTAACACCCTCATCTTAGAAAAAGTACATGCTCTGATCCGAAAAACGTTTGCATATGTAATCCCAGCACTTTGGGAGGCCGAGACGGGCGGATCACGAGGTCAGGAGATCGAGACCATCCTGGCTAACACAGTGAAACCCCGTCTCTACTAAAAAATACAAAAAACTAGCCGGGCGAGGTGGCGGGCGCCTGTAGTCCCAGCTACTCAGGAGGCTGAGGCAGGAGAATGGCGTAAACCCGGGAGGCGGAGCTTGCAGTGAGCCGAGATCCGGCCACTGCACTCCGGCCTGGGCAACAGAGCGAGACTCCGCCTCAAAAACAAACAAACAAACAAACAAAAAACCAGAGCTTCGGTCAGGGAGAAACTTTGCTCAGAGAAATAACTTAGGGATTGGTTTATTAAATTTTAAAAGTTGACATTTTTGAGTGTTTATTTAATATTTTACAGGGAAAGCATCTGTATGAATTGTCTGTTTTATTTAGCATTGCTAACTGAATCAGTTTCCCTTCATTACTTTCAAATATGTTTTGAAATGTTAATCTGGCATTTTGTAGCTTTCTTCCTAACATGATCTGTGAAAATAAGAATGAGATGGCTAAATTTGTCATAGTTAATGATCAAACAATTTTCAGACAATTGTTTTTCCTAGAAACAAAAATTATTTCCATAAAGTTCCATATGCATAAACAGTGAAAACAGAGTTTGGGGTAGTTTTGTTTAAATGGAGTCTTCATGAGAATCATATTCTGTAGTACAAGGAAGCTCTTAAAGTTTACTCGCAATACCTGGTATAATTTTCCTGAACCATTATGGAGTTTTGTTATGTATAGTTGGTTTTTCTGACTTGATATAATAACTGTACTAGTCTTTCAAATACAATTTGGATATAAATCATTATAATAAAATGATTGATTTTTTAGACTAACTTTATTTTTTGATATTTTTAAATTATTATAAAAAACATGATAGTATATTCTAGTTTGAAAAAATAATTCCAGAATCAAATCACAATAAGCAGAAGTTCTTCTCCTCTCTTCCTCCTATTATTCTCCTTCTCCTGTTTTTATTTTTTGATGTGATAGTTGATCTACTTTGCTGCTCTGGTGCATAGGAGTAGGTAACACTGGCAATTTATGGCTCCTGAATTTATCATTCTTGCTTCATCATCCTGCTTTGACCCCACTTTCTCCTCCAAAATGCATGTTGAGTTAGTTTGATCATTTGGAGGTAATTTGTTTAGAAAAATACCAGACTTTATAGATATCTCCCATGGCTTGTGACAGAATATAAGGGCAATGCAAATATAGAGTTTTTTGCTCACTCTTAGATGTATGGTTAGACAATGTACTACTATAATATATTTGGCTTAGGCTATTTCATAAATAAAATTTTATTGTATAATATTGCAAATACTGATAAAGCCATTCCAGAATTTTAATAGATACATGAGTTTCCTGGCCAGATGCAGTGGCTGACGCCTATAATTCCAGCACTTTGGGAGGCCGAGGCGGCTGGATCACCTGAGGTCAGGAGTTCAAGACCAGCCTGGCTCACATGGCGAAACCTCGTCTCTACTAAAAATACAAAAATTAGCCAGGTGTGGTGGCCCACACCTGTAATCCCAGCTACTTGGGAGGCTGAGGTGGGAGAATTGCTTGAACCCGGGAGGCAGAGGTTGCAGTGAGCCGAGATGGTGCCACTGCACTCCAGCCTGGGTGACAGAGGTGAGACTCCATCTCAAAAACTAAAACAAAAAAAACAAAACAACATGGGTTTACATTTTACTCGTCAGCTATGGTAGGTAAATAATAAACTTTGGTTAAGTCTATTTTTAGCAGATTACTTTGAAAAATAAAGAATAGCCCAATGACTAAAAAATTATTTGATGTCCAGCACTTAATAAAACATCTCTTTAAGTAGTGAATAATTCTAGTTGAGGGCAAAAACACATCTATTTTCTATGATACAATTTGTATTTATATCTGCTGTATTACATAATGAAAATTTATCTGTATTTCTAATCTTGAGAAACTGCAAGCTTATGAATCATTAAAGGGAAGATTCACCATGTGTCCTAATTATATTTACTATGGAAGCATGGAAAATAAATACTTTATGTTTAGATTTCTGATCTCTCTTTCAAAAGCAGTTGGAAATCATGCTGAGAAAATGTCTTAGCTTATCCCATGTTACTCAAGAAAATGTATTTATTTGTTTTTGTCCAGTGGCTTAACCAAACCAAAGTTTATTTGTTGCTCACATAAAGTCCAATGTCGATCAGGCTACTCTTTTTCGTCTTTGAGCTAGGACACATATTACACGCAACTTTCAGTGTACCTGAGGTAGAAAAAGAGAGAGTTTGGGAATAAGGCAGGGGCTTTTTACTGCCTCAACCCCAAAGTGATAAACTATATTTATTCTCAAAATCCAGATAAAACTCCCATAGAGCTCCTGAAAACCTCAGCATTTGCTTCTTAACTATAGTAAGGTTAACTAAGATTCTAAAATTATTTTAAAACAGAGACAGTTTCCCTCTTCCCTGGCAGCTAATATTGTGTTTTCTATAAATCTCACTTGCCTGAGGTTTAAACTACATTTTATGGAATGAAATGACATTTATGGCCAACTCTGATTTTTAGTTAGATGGTTGGATAACGATCTTTTGATGAAAGACTTGGAGATGTCATGGTAAAAACGGTAAACTACTGAAACTATTGATTATTGTTAATGGCACATTTCAGCTGATTGAATTGAGTCAAGAAACTGGTGTTGAAGAGCAACAAATGGAAATGTCAAGCTTGAAAGTAAATAAAACAGCATACCTTAAGAGATTACATGCAATTTCAGTATTTCAGCTAAATGGAAGTGTTTGCTTCTTTTCCCTCTATGAATTTTTATTTTGAACAAAGGGAATTTTCTATAATATGTATGTAGGAGAAAAGTGAAATGGCATGTTTTTCACTTCATTTGAAGAAGCTGGTAGCATTGTATTCATAGACTCATGCTATATAGCAATCATAGTTCTCATATATTAAAAAAAGGAAATTTGAAATGCCTAGCCAAAGCAACAGCTCTGCCAACAGATTTTGATATATCTGTCTACCCCAAAAGTAGTGATGATTTACTTCATACAAATGCTAGTGAATGAAGACAGAGGGTGAAAACCTTCACAAAATGTGTTTTTCTCTAAGACTGTCAATCCATTTTTCTATATATGGAGACTCCAGCTCTTGCTAGACTACCTATCACTTTTGTCTATCAGCCACTTCCTAAGATATTTATTCTCTCAGCAATAATCATAATTCATACATTATTTAAACATATGTGTAATATAAAGCATATACCTTCTGAATGGAATTAACATGATTAACTCTTCTCTGAAAGACATTAGAGCTTCCTCCCGTATTATAAAAAGGTATAACTCACTTTCTTTACTAAAATCAAGAACATTACAGTTGTCCTTGTACTTCAGGATAAGGGGATGTTTCTTATAAATATTGTTATTTCTGATACGCTAACTGGAATTTTTAAGCAAATGTATTTTTATAGAACGCCATATAAGGCCTTTAGGGGTGAAAGTTTCCGAATGTTTAAATTGCAGATTTATCCTTTACATAAAAAAACTATATTCATAATTGAATCAGATTATTTCTCTGTCCACAGCATTTTCTGCTTTGGGCCTAAGAGAGTTGACAAAGCTGTTCATGGTTCAAAGTACTACCATAAAACCCTGGGTAACTAACTGAAAATGGAAAGACTCCGTGTCTTTCTGAATATTTCACAAGAGTTTCACAAATATTAAGCGGTTCTCTAAGTACCCCTGAGAGATCATTGTAATATTAGCTTGTAAAGACGATGTGGGGATGTGGGGATGTGGTGACCTTTATGATGGTCATAAAGGTGGTGTAATTAATATATTTTTCTCAGCAAGACAAACTAAGGAGCAATAAATATATGAGATTCCTTCATCTGTGATCTGGGTCATGTCTCAGGCCATATCTTTCAAATCACTCCCTTCCCTAATCTCATGTTTTACCTATGTCTCCTCTCAATCCCCCCATTATAAAAATTTTCTCCTGAAAAATAAAACATTTCCAGAGAGACAGGTTTGATAAACTTTGAATTGTACATCTGAGTACACCTATGAATTAAGGTATCTTTGATTTCCAATATGTTATTAAAATTGGGCACAGTGGCTCAGGCTTGTAATCCCAGCACTTTGGGAGGCAGAGGCAGGCGGATCACGAGGTCAAGAGACCGAGACCATCCTGGCCACATGGTTAAACCCCATCTCTACTAAAAATACAAAAATTAGCTGGGCATGGTGGAGCTCACCTGTAGGCCCAGCTACTCAGGAGGCTGAGGCAGGAGAATTGCTTGAACCCAGGAGGCGGAGGTTGCAGTGAGCTGAGATGGTGCGCCTGCACTCCAGCCTGGTGAAAGAGCGAGACTCTGTCTCAAAAAAAATAAATTTAAAAAATAAAATAAAATAAAATTGGAGAAGTTTCTCACCAAAATTTTGGCCCACTGATTAATTCCGAAGAAAGAAGAAAGAATGCAATCTTAATAGCACAATTAGTACCTTGAATAAATTGGAGTATCATATTTCTTGGACCATCTGAGAATGCAGAGGCAATTTAAGGGCCCCTAATTCTAAGGAGAAGAAACCTTTAGTGTACTCCTTCCTGTTGCTTTAGTTTGAATTGAGTTTTATATGTGTTTTTTAATCTTTCCATTTTGATTGTTGTCTAAAGAGTGTGAAAGTGAATTTTGATATTTTAATTTGCCTGGTGATGAATGCCTTCTGCTCTGGA